GCTATATCAAATTATCTTGTACACATTATTCTTGAATTACGAATCAATATAAACACCAACATGTTTTAAGTAAAGTAGAAAAAGGGACAAAAACTAGAGTAGTTTATATAAGAGTTTGTAATTAACAAAGTTTCAAAAAATTCTCAATTTACGTTCATTTAAGTATAAACCTAAAACCTACAAAGTTTTTAACATTTTCGTATTTCCGTTTTGATACTTACGAAACATTTTTTTATGCAACTATACTGAAAATTTCCTAATGATAATGAAGATAAATGATTATCTTTCAACTAAGGACAAAATCGAAATTTCTTAAACAAAGAGAACGATCGGCGGGAACGGGACATAATTGCAAGGTTGATTTCGAAATTACTACACTTGCCGACGGTATCCGGCAAGAGTCAGGAAAGCGAATTAAGCACCGTAATGAGAGCATGATGGATATCACTCTCTATGTATATAGCGCGACGTAATTTTCCGGTTGAGCCACGTAATAAGAAGGTATCCCACTGCGAGTAAGGTTGCCTCGGAAATAAGCGGACTGCGTGAAGTCGCTTTGACCTTTAGGCAAAACAGACTTCCCCTCGTTGCCAATCTGAATTCTTAATTCCGATGTCGCCGGTACCAAGAGTATTACCGCGATATTAACAGTCGTTACGACGGACGTCGTAACGAACTCAAGAACTGGGCGAGAGACGGCGAGAATTTGAGTTTTCTAAGAATCCGACAAAAGGAAGAATGCGACAGGAATTCAGGAATCTAAAAGTCCTGGACAATCTCGGGAATTTGAATATTCAAGCTCAAAAAAAAAAAAAGAAATACGAATGACATAAAAATGTACAGTGTTAAAAATCCAAGAATTACAGAGAATTCGTTCGATGTAGAATTTAAAAATTTATGGAAATGTAGAAATGAATGCAAATGTGCGATTATTCCGAATGCAAATTTGGATTTCAAGAAGTGCTCGAGTGCTCAAACACTTTTAGTTCCTCCGTATTAGAAGAATAAAAGAAAGCACAAACGTGTCAAAACGGAGAGCGTTATCTATCCAAGTAACAGGTCGACAGGTGGAATAAAAAAAAATCGATTAATATGTCATTATCATCTTAGTCACATTTCATCACGATAAAAATGTGATATCGATTAATTTGAATCTCAACAAATATGTAAATAAAAATGTGACCTAAAATAACGTTGCGAAACGATAATAAAACGCTTGCTAACTTTTGAGTACTTCTTGATACCACACAGAAAATTTCTAGAACACGCTTTCTGACAATAATGGATGCTATAATTCACTGCCGCGTTTGATATTAAATTGCAAGTTGAAAAGTCAACCGCTTACAGTTGGGAGCTTGAATAAGCAGAGAATATTCCAAACTCGGAGTACAAAACTTTCGAGCGCTTTAGGAAACAAGTTCTGCTGTAATGTTAATCCAACTCCAAACAAAAAATAAAATCAATAAATTCGCAGATCTTTAAAGATCTTTAGATCTAAGAAACTCGGAAATTAATTAAATTGAAAAAGAAAAACTGCTACAGTCAGAAAAAAATGGACGATTTCGTCACAGTTTCCTTTCATGAAGAAACCCTTGACAGCTCGTTGCACAAGTTTCGTGAATCGTGACGTAATCAATCGTTCTCGATGTCAGAAACTGAAGGGTTAACGTAGCAATTCATAATTTCCTTCGCACGCGAAAGCAAACTCTATTTGAATAAAAATATTCGAATATTTCGAATTGTTGTTTCCACTTGTAACTGAATCTGAAAATATTATTTTTGTATTAAATATTTTGGAAAAATGATTTTAATTAAATGGAAACTTGAAATATTCCATTCGTTCAGGATTTAGATCGAACGTTCTGCTCGACATGAGCGTGGTTGCATAAGTACGGTCGCTTCTCTCCACCTCCGGATCGAAACCTTCAACCATACGGCTACTGAAATAATTATTAGCCAGCGTTATTTATAAACCTTGCAAATATCAAGGAGTGGTAACGTAGAGCTATACACGTGACCGTATCGACGAGTCTTTTTACGCCGTTTTAACCCTCGGACGCGTATCGCTTTTTTTTTTTTTTTTTTCACGTTCATTGCATAAGAATGCGGAATCGATCTGATCCCACATCAGCGGCAACAAACAAACGCCAATCCTCTCGAAATACTTTTTTCTCTCGGCCGGTGTAAGATTTACGTATATGTCTCTCTCGATAGAATTGTGGCACGATGTATAATCGATGTAACAATCATCGTGATCTTGCATCCTGATCTTGCAACTTTCTCAGCAATAAAAAAACGTGATCCTGCAATTTGTTCTTTAATTGATGCTTGTATAAGGCAGAAATACGCGTATATAATGTGACTTAGAACATATATATATATATATATATTCTATAGAGCATTAATTATTCTTCGAGACTACTACTCCCCAAGATCTTGAACGGGATAATTGGCCGTGACATTGAATATCATAGCTAACGGTCTGTGCAATTAACTCTATAGCATAATGTTTACTTAGAGAATATAGTTTAAATAATTCTGTTTGGTATATTGAAGTAACATTACATCGTACGACCGTATTCTTTTAATCTATAAATAAAATTATGTAACCCTGAGAACGTAATAAATCTCTTCATCGTCTAGAGTAGAAACCTTGAAAAGTTTTCAAAGCCTTAAGAGTGACAGGGATATATTTCCGATGAAATATTGATATGATCCCGAAGACTGTTAGACATCGCGACGAGGGAGGGGGGGAGGGAGGGTTTAGTGCTGAAGAGGCTTGAGTGACAAACGTTATCCGTTCTGTTACAGTTGAAGAACGCCGCGGCGAACGTGTTGCGGGAAACGTGGCTGATTTACAAGCACACTCGTTTGGTGAAACGCGTCAATCCCGGACGCGTGCGGACCCATCAGCGGAAATTCCTGTTGGCCATATACGCGTAAGTCGATACCACTCCGGGTTCCATGATTAGATGACCGTAGTTAGGTCAGCACGTAATCATTACTAGGTCGCTCTATCTCGCAACTACCTCGAAATTTCAGACTCAGAAAGGTGAAAATGGATCAGCGTAAATTAATGGACAACGCCAACACTATAACGGACATGGCCAAGGTGAGAGGCCTCGGTGCTAACGAGGAAAACCACCCTTTGGAATATTGCAATAGCATATGAAAGAGAAATCAAGAATTAAGAGAAGATTATATTTTAAAAAATTCTCGCAGCTATTTAGATACAAGTTCTCCTTTAAATAAGGCTCTTTAGATAAAAGCTCTTCTTTATCAATTTTTTATTGCAAAGAAATTTCTATAAAATCAGTGTCTCGACATTGACATTCAAAGCCTTTGTTTAGGATTGTTTAGGAAAAAATTTAATTTTTCCCGCTAGTTATGTAAAAATAAGTAGTTGCAAAAAGGTATTCTCTAATGCGCCGCCTGGTTCATGCCTGCAGACGCAAAACACCGTCTACGAGATCGTCTCGGACATGAGCACGCGGCAGGACGCGGTGGAGGAGCGTTTGGTGGGTCTGGAGGACCGTCTGGTCGGCCTAGAGGAGAAGCTGACCTCGCTGCAAGGCCAGCTGGAGCTGTTGCCGGAGGAGCTGACTCGCTGCCTGGCCCAGCACGCCGAGCGGATGGAACAGCGGCGTAACTTCCTCCATCCGGACACCGCGGTAGCCATGGCGGCTTCCGGCGGCGGCGGCATCGGCGGCGGCGGCGGCGGCGGTGGCGGCGGCGGCGGTGGCGGCGGCGGCGGTGGCGGCGGCGGAGGAGCGATGCCAGGCGCGAGCCTGGGCGTTTCCGGTGGCGGCAGCATCGCCTCCGCCGCACACCACCCCCTCGCCAGCCTCTCCAACTCACCCCTGCTGCCGCACTCGCGCAGCGTACCCAGCGCGCCCAGCACCATGTCCCTGCACCCCATGGCCCGGTTAGTCCCGGTCTTACCGCCCGTCTCCAGCCGTACACCCCACCTGGTGCCGGAAACCGGCAGGCATCACGGCCTCAGTCACTCCGCCACGGTGACCACGACCTCGCAGTCGGCCACCAGGCTCACCTCGCAGGCCGGCATGGGTGGGTTAGGCAACAGCCAAGGCTCGGACACGTCGGCGCACAGCTGAGTCTCGTCTCTGCAGCCGCAGCACTCGTACTAAGGTCCTTCGCCGGTTTTGCGCGTGATCGCGGACGGTGACCGTTGCCGATCGACAATGGTGGGCCGCCTCGACTAGATGTATCGCAGTCGATACAACACTGCTCGTCGATGCAATACTGATGACATAATCGCATTACAATCGACTGGAGATTCTCTCCTCGCACAAACAAATGTGAGAACTCCCATCTGGAGCGGTGTATCCTCGTCCATATCCGTAGTCATTTAATGGTTCGCCATAATTGAAGAGTCTCTATCCAATTGTTGTAGACAGTCGATTATACAAATTTACATTGGTACTTTTACCAGAGAATACAAAATTCTCGGAAAGGTAGTTTTCATGAAATCGCGATTACGCGATTTGAAAACAATCGTCTCGAAGGGGATTACCAATCCCGCTATCTATAAGCAAATTCTGCGCATAGATTTATAAATTAGTTTGTTTGACTTTAATTTTATACATACGAATTTTCTTAGTTCCACAGTTGCCAATCGAGGACCCTTTCGTAAAAAAAAAAAAAAAATAAATAAAATGATTTTGTTCCATATGCGGAACAAAAAAGCTTCGTACGGAACAACTTTCTCTCTAACATCTAACTTATTTCCAAACGGACCACAGCCAAAAGATATAATCAACGAGGAACACTGCGTTAAACACTGCGAGAATTTTGCAGCGGCCAAATCGATCGAGCACGACCGTCTGCTTCCCGTGCGAAACTCATCTAACGATGGGCCTTTTTGCGTTCCACGCGTACCTTCGAGTCCCTCCTTGGAAAAGTTGGCGAGATTCAGATTAGAATGGCGCAGCAAGCGCGGTCGTAAAAGAATTCAGAAATTGAACGTAATTGCGCGTGTTTTCAACGTAGTTGTAAACTATAAATCACTCGGCATTCATCTTTTTGCACCAGACTCCTCAATTGTCTAATTTTCCGATGGAAAGATGGCGTCCAATCTCTTGAGTCTTCCCACCTATTCTGATCGCCTAGTTCTGTCAACTCCTTCCAATCGTCGACCTTTCACTCGCCAATCTTGGCAGAAGTACGCGATCAAAGGCGGAAAGATTGAAGGAGAATTGAGGATAACCGGAAGTGAAAAGATCTGCGCCGGAATCAATTCCGGATGGACGAGAGAAGGAGGGGAAGTCTCAGGGTACGCGCGGCTTCTTCCACTGGCTGCGCGCTGCTCCCCTGCCCAACTTGCGTGCCTGAATAACTGTTTTCTTATAATTAAATGTACATTCGACACACAGGAACTCCACCTTGTATCTCTGTATATCTCGAAGAGTCGCGGACGGGCATAACGTGCGTGTACAGGAAGCTCGTGTGCGGACAAGGACTGGCCCGAAGGTGAACCAAGCCGGCTCTTAAAGCCTCTCGCGCCTAATTAAGGTAAAACCGGCCCTTTCCCTTCTCTCGGCAGCAGAGGTGTATAAAGGGCTACTATTACGTTCGTATCTCTCGTCCGAAGCTAAACTTAAATGATTTCTCCTAGGTAATATCGTAACAGTGATCTTTGCGTACAATTATCCCGTAACACGCAACGACCTTTATGCATCCTCTGGTTCTGGATTTAGGCATCGCCTGTCTACGCGACTCACACGTTTTACATTTTTGAGCGTTGAACTCGTTGAACTCGTGAATTCGTATTCGTAAAGTAAAAGCGCTATCGCGATCGCGCGAATTAAACCGCTCAAATGGAAGAGAGTAGACTCAAGATCGTGCCGTCGTATTTGATCCTGGATATGTGATACCTAGTTCATGAATTCTTCTGCATATCGTATACATTCCTCCTCTCTGTTATTTTTCCATTTAGAAAACCCATCCCTCCCGGTCAGTCGCGTCGACGAGACGTTAGTAAACTCAACATCATTTGCATAAAGTGACGCGTCTTGCGTCTAGGAGTCTCGCATATTTCCTTTAGGACGACGCCTAGAGGCGCGCTTTAAGGGCCGGCGCGAGAAACCCGACGGGTGTCCAGGAAAACGTATATATAGAGAGAGAATGCAAAGTGATCTTATCCGCTTTAACGTCCGTAGGTTATATAGGATATTATATTGTTAGATGTATGTTGTACATGGCGCACGGGTACAAAAAAAAAA